ACGATCCATTGGCACATGAATGTGTGAAGGGGAGGGAATATGGCCAAAACACAGCGCGATCGTATTGCGATCAAGCGACAGCTAAGCTTGTTGGGCAGTGTGTACTGATGACTGACGAACTTGTTGACTAATATTGTTTTCCAGGCACTTTTAATATTTATTCTCGTTATGTTGGAGAGGAAAGAGGCTTAGCAAGATCCCACGACCCAAATACGACGTAGCTTATGCCGGCAAATGGTGCCTGAACATCGGACGCCTCTCCCTCGGCCCAAGTCCTTGTCAGGACTCGGGCACTAATATGCCCACGTAACAAAGTATCAAAATTTTTGATCAGACTACGATCTAATTTAATATCAATTAAACAAAAGTTTAAGTTGGACATATCGGTACCAACTATACTTAACACTTCCCTAGCAGTTGAAACTGGTGATGAATCGGAATCAACAAAACAAACTGACAGTGACCAAATAGAATCAGAAGACCTTACAAAAACAAATCCTAAAATAGAAGAGCAAGATTTAAATAATCTTACTATTCCAGCTGTTTTAATGTCAGATCTGGATAGTTCTACAGATTCTGATGATAGTTCAAGCATAATAGAAAATAAAATAAGAAACAATATCACAATGGCACAATCTAATATTGATTTCATTAACACAGCATCCAAGCTTATACCAGTTTTCGATGGTAAATCTGAAAACTTAACAAGTTTTATGGATGCATTAGAAATAATACAATCAATAAAAGGCGAACACGAACAATTAGCAGTTTCCATTATAAAAACAAAGCTAAAAGGTGTCGCCAGAAAACTAATCGGAGATGAAACAACAATAGCTGAAGTCATTTCCAGATTAAAAAACAACGTCAAAGGCGAAACTGTAGAAGTGTTGTCAGCAAAACTGATGAGCCTACAACAACGCAATAAAACTGCCAACCAGTACACACAAGAGGTTGAGCAGATGACGAAATCCTTACAAGGTGCATTTATAACAGATGGCTTATCCCTAGAGTTAGCCAGACGTTATTCCACTCGGCATGCAGTGAAAGCAATGACTAAAAATTGCACAATAGATAAGGTAAAAACTATCATGCAAGTCGGTACCTTCAATACAACGAATGAAGCCATATCCAAATTTGTAAATAGTTGCACAGAAGCAACCGGACAGCCAAACACTGTACTATATTACAAAAATTACCCGCAGCGCGGTCGAGGTAATAATCGAGGTAATAATCGAGGTAATTATAACAATACCAGATATTATCAGAATAACGGATATAATAAAAACAATGGTTATAACAGAAATAACAATAACCAAAATAACAATTATTACAGAAACAACAACCGTGGTGGAAACACCAGCGGCGGAAACAGCCGTGGGGGAAACAACAACAACCACAATAACAATGTTAGAGTGGTACAAACAAATTCGGGAAACTCCCAACCACCTTTAGATACACGACAACATTAAAATTCACACTCTACATCTCAGTCAAAATACATATGTCACTTTCATGTACGTAGCAACAGGAAAAGAATTAGTTCTCTTACTAGACACAGGTGCGGAAATATCCTTTTTGAAGGAAAATTCTGATAATTTTCAAAACATTCAAGATAATCACATCATAAACATACAGGGTATAAGTCAGGAAGTTACCAAATCAAAAGGTTTAACTTCTATTGAAATTCAAACTTCTAAGTACGTAATTCAACATGATTTCCATATCGTAAGTATGCAATTCGCTATTCCATGTGATGGAATACTAGGAATCGATTTTATCAAAAGATACAACTGTCAATTAGACTTCAAGCCGTCTGAAGACTGGCTTATAATAAGACCAAATAACCTAAAATATCCAATTTATGTTTCAATAGCATACAGTTCTGGCAACAACTCCCTAATTCTGCCAGCAAGATCCCAAGTCGTCCGAAAAATCGAAATAAATTCAGAAGAAGACAGTGTATTAATTCCGAATCAAGAAATTCAGCATGGTATCTATATCGCAAATACCATAGCAAAAGTCCAAAATGCATATATAAGATTACTAAATACTACAAACACAGATCAAGTAGTCTATATCAAAAACATTCATCATGAACCACTTTCAAACTACGACATAGTAAAAACGGACTTAGAAGACAGACAAAAAATTGTATTATCCCAACTTGCAAAAAACTTCCCGCCTCAATTCAATAAACAACTTACAGAATTATGCACCCAGTATAGTGATGTCTTCGGACTAGAAACCGAATCGATCACTACCAATAATTTTTTTTTTTTGGACGTTGATGCACTATGGTCAGTACAAACAAGTGGCCCTACGACACCAAGCAAAGCTTATTACGCGCGGAGCCCATCACCGTTTTGGGCGAGTAAACATAATCGCGGACAAAGAAAAAGACAATGTAACAATAGACAATTAAAAATACAGGTCAATATACGAATAGACAAAATACATCAAGTAAAACTAATTAGTTACTAGGGAGGATACTATTATTGATTTAAAGATAGGAAGTGAGTCAGTAGTAGATATTAGATGATATAGTCTATTATAATCATTGCAAAGTACTCTAAAAGGTTCATGCAATGCGTAATTAGAGATACAGTGATTTAATACTACAGGAATATAGTTTCTAGTGAATCTATTTGGCACATTAAAATGCAGGCGACCCAGTAACTCGGGACTCTCTACATCACCATGAATAAGATTTCTAATAAACGTAATACCAAGCATAGCTCTACGGTTAGCTAACGATGGTAAGTTAATTAGAAGTGGTCTACTAGAGTAGGATGGTAGTATTAGGCTTGTATCCCAGTTAAGTCTCCGTAAGGCAAATATTAAGAAGCTTTTTTGCACAGACTCAATCCGGTCTATATGCACCCCATATTGGGGACTCCAAACAGGAGCGCAGTACTCAAGAATTGGTCGGACTAATGAAATAAACAAGGTCTTTGTGACATAGGGATCATCAAATTCCTTCGACCACCTTTTGATAAATGCAAGCACGCCCCTGGCTTTATTTACCATAGTAGTAATGTGATCGGAAAATTTAAGTCTAGGATCCATGTAGACTCCAAGGTCGTCAGCTTGCGTTATCCTATCTAACGCACAACCACTCAAAGTATACGTTGAGTAGTGGGGGCTGACACGAAAAAAGGTCATTAGTTTACACTTAGAACCATTTAAATTCAATTCATTATCCATGCACCATGTTTGAAATGCATTTAGATCCGATTGTAAAGCTAAACTTTGTGCGGGGTCATTATATTTATTTATTTATTTCATTTCGCCAACGGAATTCCTTTACTGGCTACTTGAACATTTCAACAACTTATCTTACGTACTAAAATTTACAAAATAATTGACTAACCTATGCTTAAGATTTGATTTACTTGAGAAGTAGTCCAATTGCATATCAATTGGAAGTGCGTTAGACTCATAAAAGGCCCTATGGAGGGGCTCGTTTTTGGAATAATTTGTCCGCCGCAGCTCGAGGAAAAAGGGATCGCAATTCCGAAGTTGCCTAGGCGGGGCGTGCAAACCAACTTTCGATAGCAGTTCTGGACAGTCAATACTACCATCCAACAAATCAGAGATGAAGCAAATGGCGAGGATACTTCTACGATGCTCAAGGGATGGTAGGTGAACAAGCCTACATTGCTGGTGGTATGAAGGGGTAGGGTCTAAAAACCTTAGCGGCAACAACGCGAATTTTAAAAACTGTTTCTGTAGACGTTCTATTCTGTTTCCATGAGTGGTAGTGAAGGGATTCCAAATAAGAGACGCATATTCTAGTTTAGATCGGACAAATGCAAAATAAAGCGCAAGTCTGGTGTAGGGATCCGTGAATAGCGATGCGTTCCGTCTCACAAATCCAAACATAGCATAGGCCCTGGGCATGATGTAATCGAAGTGTGCTGCAAACTTAAATTTTGAGTCAAACAACACTCCAAGATCCAAGGATTCCTGCCGCAGTTGTAGAGGTTGACCATTGAATATTATAAGATGTGACGATATTGTATGCGGATTTACTGTAAGTGACATAGAAGCACTTACTTATGTTAAGAGGAAGCGAGTTTCGGCTACACCAAGAGCTCAAGGAAACTAAGTCATGTTGAACCGATTGTGAGTCTGTCGCTAATTTAATAGACTTAAAAATTTTTAAATCATCTGCATACAGGAGACACTCTGAAGATAGACAGAACTTCACATCATTAATGAAAATGATGAAAAGCAGAGGTCCCATAGCACTCCCCTGAGGGAGGCCAGAGGTTGCCAAATAGGAATCCGAGAATTTTCCATTAATATTAACTCTATAAAGTCGATGGTGTAGATATGAATTAATCCAATTTAGTAGTGCCGAATGTATACCCACGCGGGCCAGTTTTGCCAGTAGGGCACTGTGGCTAACTTTGTCAAAGTCTTTCGCAAAATCGGTGTAAATAGCATCAACCTGATATCGCATATTAAAGGCATGAATGCAATAGTTGCTGAAAACGGCAAGATTAGTCGTAGTTGACCGACCTGCAACAAAACCATGCTGAGAAGTGCTTATATATGTTTTTACAAGAAATGATAATTTATGGGCAACAATGCGTTCGAAGAGTTTAGCGATAATACTTATCTTTGCTATTGGCCTGTAATTGGCAATGTTATTCTTCGGCCCTGATTTTAAAATTGGAGTCACGGATGCGACCTTCCATCTATCCGCAAAGTGTCCACTAGAAAGTGATTTATCAAACAGAATTTTTAGTGGAACGCATAGCACCTCTATACAATGTTTCAGAAAGTAGGCCGGAATCCCATCACAGTCCGGAGTGTACGATTCATCCACGCCTTCCACAGCCCTATGAATATTCTCTTCTAGCACGGTTAAACTACCTAAATTCAATAGAGGAGTGATTGCATTTAAGGTTTGAGAATCATTCCAGTCTGCTGTTGGCTCAAAATTAGCTTTAAAATAAGAAGCAAAGAGATTTGCAGTTCCTGTATTTGAATTGGAAGATAAATTCCCTAGGAACATAGCAGATGGAACTGAAGAAGCACTTTTCTTTGAATTGATGAATCGCCAAAAAGAGTTGGGATTACTTTTTAGGCCGTTCTCAACACTCGCTATATACTGATTGTAAAGAAATTTATTTAGAAATTCAAATTCTCGTTTGTGCTGCAAGTGCCTATTCCAATCACCAGGATCCTGTGTAACTAAAAACCTTTTATAGAATTTATTTCGAAGATTTTTAAGCTTTTTCAAACTTTTCGTATACCATGGCAACTTAAACGAATTGTGGACCCTTTCTCGAGCATTGTTCTTAATGATGTTTTAAATAACAACTAAAAATGTGTCATAACACGACTCCAAGCTGACATGTGATAAAACTGACTCCCAGTTAATGGCAGAGATCTCATTTCTGAAGGCACAAAGGCTGGTTTCATTGAAAATAAATCTAGGTGAATATTCAGCTGAAGGCGCAAAACTGTAAAAGTTTATACCTAGTAGCAATGGTCTATGATGGATATCACAATTGCTTATAGGTGAACTACATTGGACTAAAGAAAAGTTAATATCAGCGCTAAGGAATACTAAGTCTAAAATTTTATGTAAGTTATTGAATATATTATTGACTTGTATTAAGCCCATACTGAAAATATCATCGATGAAAAGAATCTCGTGTGGTTGATGTATGTTGCTTGGCAGTGAAGAGTGATGCTCCGGATCCTGAGACCAAACGAGGGATGATAGATTAAGGTCTCCAATCACACAGAGATGTTGATGGTCCTGCAGATTACTGTAGATGTCGGTAATGTTTTCCTTGTAAAGTTTATATGAACCATTCGGTGGTATGTATGACACCACAATTTGCAGCGATTCCGATTCTCCAATTATCGACACCGCAACTTGATCAAGAAGGGTATCTTCAATGAGAAGTCCAATTGACAAGCAGCGCAAATTGCAGCGAACAGCAACAATTATACCACCCCCTCTAGCACAGTGGGTTTTCGTGCCATCTCTGTCTTTGCGGAACACATGGTACAAATTGGAGTCGAAGAATTCATTTGAGTAAAAGTTTATGTTGAGCCAAGTTTCAACTAAAACTATAACATCAAACTCGCATTGGGATGTGGCAAGGTATACTTGCTCCGCCTTTGTCCGCATTCCGGAGATGTTTTGAAAATAAATTTTTAGTGGGGCCGTACTCACAATAGCACGATCAACAATTTCCGGATTCGCATTTAAGGCATCATAGTCCAATGCCCTAGGAAGTATTTGTTCATGCGTTCCCAATGTTGTAGGCCCGCAGATCGCCTTCAGTAATGTAGTGTTTTTAATACGAATTTTTCCATGCAGACTAGGATCGATGCATTCCCTAAGTTTGCTAGTTACTTTTAGTAAAGAGCAACTAGTTCTTAAGAGCGATGGCAATGTCGCCGTTAACAGAGCATATCTATCCAAGTTGGGGAGAGATGGACAAAGTTGTTGTTGATGCTGCCATCGGGAAGAGCCACACAAAGCAATCGATGAGAAATTCAAGCAATTTCGTATCGTCAGAGAGGAGCGCGATAATAAGGAAATGATACTGTGATCACGAGTATCACTCAGAGCAAATTTTGAAAGCTCCAGCCGTTGGGTTTTTGTGAGCATTAGTCGAACGTAACACAATTCAGACAACGACAACTCCAGCTGACGTTGTTGTTGGTTCAATTGTGATAAGCGCACAACTCCGACGAGCGAGCTTAGAGCAGGAATCTTGATGAAATATGATGAGAGCAGCTCTCCAGAGAGCGTTTGACAAACGTCGCGCGAAATAGACAACGACAAATCCAGCTGATGCAGATGTTGCTTTCATTGTGATGAGTGCACATCTCCGAAGAGAGCGCTTAGAGCGGGAATCTTAACGGAATCTGGTGACAACGCCTCTCCAGTGAGCGTTTGATGAACGTTAGACAGAACAAGAAAGGAAAAATCCAGCTGATAATGTTTTTGATTTGTGAGTGACGGGCGCCCAATACTTAAGAGTGCACTGGGAGCGGCGTATGAGAAAGTAATGGTAGCAGTTAGCGATATCGAAATCAGCGGACGTTGACATTGCGAATAAGTAGCATGAAGATGAGGAAGAGGATCATGAAAATTTGCCTCTTGTTCCTGTTATTCTTTGCATGGTTCCTGGCGGCAGTAGAAACTGGTGCGGGGGGTATCAGGTCTGCATGGTTGGCTTGACGACCAATTGAAGAAGGTGGAGCCAATGGTTTCACCACTTTTTTACGCTGACTGACATTGCTATTGTCAGTGGTAGAATTGGGAAAAGCCTTCAGAAACTTTGAATTTAAATCCATGTATAGACTCTTCAGGTCATGAAGTTCATCCATTACTTCATCGATTTTGGAGTATGAATCATTACTCACAACACAGCGATCACACTGCCAGAGTAGATTCGGCATATTTGTTAATAATCTAATAGCATCCTCCGGGAGATCAACACATGCAGTGTGAAAAGTACGACGACAAAGCGATGAGCAACGAACCGCCTCAAAACCGCGAAGCTGCGCTGCTGTAACTTCAGCATTGCACTCGGAGCACGAATAAGAATTCATAGCGAAAAGAAAACACGTCTGACTACAACGAATGCTAATCAGAGACTATGACTATATTGCAGGCACAACTTAACGTCATCTGCGTACATAAGAACCCGTGACTTCGTTAAGACTAATGGAAGGTCATTTATAAATAATGTAAACAGGAGCGGACCGAGATGACTTCCTTGTGGTACACCGGAAGTAACTCGGATTAGGGATGACAAAGAGTTTTTAAAAATGACCCTTTGAGTCCTATCATTCAAATAACTTAAAATCCACCTAAGAAGATCACCTGAAAACCCTAAAAGGTCCAATTTCCGGACTAAAATCGGGTGACTTACAGAATCAAACGCCTTACTAAAATCAGTGTAGACCACATCAGTCTGACGATTCTTTCTAAAACCTCCTATAACAAATAAAGTAAACTCCAAAAGGTTGGTTGTCGTTATAAATCCGTGTTGACAAGAGGAAATAAGGGACCTACAACTGTGTTGTAAATGAGGCGTAATAATGTTCTCAAAGAGCTTCGGTATAGCTGATAGCTTTGAAATACCTCTGTAATTACATGATATTGATATTTTGGACGTTGATGCACTATGGTCAGTACAAACAAGTGGCCCTACGACACCAAGCAAAGCTTGTTACGCGCGGAGCCCATCACCGTTTTGGGCGAGTAAACATAATCGCGGACAAAGAAAAAGACAATGTAACAATAGACAATTAAAAATACAGGTCAATATACGAATAGACAAAATACATCAAGTAAAACTAATTAGTTACTAGGGAGGATAGTATTATTGATTTAAAGATAGGAAGTGAGTCAGTAGTAGATATTAGATGATATAGTCTATTATAATCATTGCAAAGTACTCTAAAAGGTTCATGCATTGCGTAATTAGAGATACAGTGATTTAATACTAAAGGAATATAGTTTCTAGTGAATCTATTTGGCACATTAAAATGCAGGCGACCCAGTAACTCGGGACTCTCTACATCACCATGAATAAGATTTCTAATAAACGTAATACCAAGCATAGTTCTACGGTTAGCTAACGATGGTAAATTAATTAGAAGTAGTCTACTAGAGTAGGATGGTAGTATTAGGCTTGTATCCCAGTTAAGTCTCCGTAAGGCAAATATTAAGAAGTTTTTTTGCACAGACTCAATCCGGTCTATATGCACCCCATATTGGGGACTCCAAACAGGAGCGCAGTATTCAAGAATTGGTCGGACTAATGAAATAAACAAGGTCTTTGTGACATAGGGATCATCGAATTCCTTCGACCACCTTTTGATAAATGCAAGCACGCCCCTGGCTTTATTTACCATAGTAGTAATGTGATCGGAAAATTTAAGTCTAGGATCCATGTAGACTCCAAGGTCGTCAGCATGCGTTATCCTATCTAACGCACAACCACTCAAAGTATACGTTGAGTAGTGGGGGCTGACACGAAAAAAGGTCATTAGTTTACACTTAGAACCATTTAAATTCAATTCATTATCCATGCACCATGTTTGAAATGCATTTAGATCCGATTGTAAAGCTAAACTTTGTGCGGGGTCATTATATTGCAGGCACAACTTAACGTCATCTGCGTACATAAGAACCCGTGACTTCGTTAAAACTAATGGAAGGTCATTTATAAATAATGTAAACAGGAGCGGACCGAGATGACTTCCTTGTGGTACACCGGAAGTAACTCGGATTAGGGATGACAAAGAGTTTTTAAAAATGACCCTTTGAGTCCTATCATTCAAATAACTTAAAATCCACGTAAGAAGATCACTTGAAAACCCTAAAAGGTCCAATTTCCGGACTAAAATCGGGTGACTTACAGAATCAAACGCCTTACTAAAATCAGTGTAGACCACATCAGTCTGACGATTCTTTCTTAAACCTCCTATAACAAATGAAGTAAACTCCAAAAGGTTGGTTGTCGTTGACCTACGTTTTATAAATCCGTGTTGACAAGAGGAAATAAGGGACCTACAACTGTGTTGTAAATGAGGCGTAATAATGTTCTCAAAGAGCTTCGGTATAGCTGATAGCTTTGAAATACCTCTGTAATTACATGCGTTCAATTTACTCCCTTTTTTATGAAGCGGGATAACAAACGATTCCTTCCATCTGTGTGGGAAATCGGATGTTTCTAAAGACAAAGTAAAAAGTTTGTGCAATGGTCTACACAAAGTCTCAGCGCAATACCTAAGCACACATCCAGGGACTCCGTCAGGACCCGGAGAGTAGACTGGTTTGACCCTTTGCAATTCTAAAAGAAGTGAGCTTTTACTTATAACAGGACAACAAATAAAGTTTGATTTAGGAATGACATATGGGTAAGACTGATCTGGAGGACTTGATGTTGAATAGGTGGTTTGAAAAAACTGTGCAAAAAGATCGGCTATGGCTTGATCAGTGCTAGCAGCCGAATTTTCAAATTTAAGTGATGATGGGTAACTAGAAGATTTACGCTTTGTGTTAACAAAATTATAAAACTGTTTTGGATCCAGTGTAAACTGGGTCTTGCAACGAGCTAAATCGTTTTTATAACACTGAGCGTTAAGCACGGTGAAATCGGACCGAGCACTTAAGTATCGGGAAAAGGCAGCTTGTGAACCTAAAGCTCTAAACTTTTTGTAGAGTCTAGACTTTACATTTTTAAGTCGTGCCAGCTCTTTGTTAAACCACGGAGGTTGGTTTGAAATTTTAGGATAATACGTAGGAACGCATGTATCAAAAACTTCGTTTAATATGTTATAAAATATATTTACCGCTTCATTTATATTAGTACTTAAGTACAGATTGGACCAATCCGAGCAAGCTATAAGGCTATTAATGAGTGCAAAGTTCGCTTTACGAAAGCAGGGGATGCGTTTAGCTATTTTTTCAGATACTTCATACACTTTTGTACCCGTGTCAATAGTCAGCTCTAGCGTTGGGTGATAAGGGTCTTCTGGTAAAGTAATTGCAGATGTTCTAGCTATGCAGACACAATCTGGACTGGAAACAAAGCATAGATCCAGTAATCGGCCGAAGAAATTTAATACATGATTTACTTGAGACAATGAAATATCAAGCAAACCGTCAAGAAAATCATGCTGCGTTGAAGGTAACAATATATTTGAGGTTTCGACGGTGGACCATGTCGCCCTAGGTATATTAAAGTCACCTAAAACTATTAACTGATCCCTATCTGATAGTTTACTTGAAATAAACTGGATAGCGGACAGATGACTCGCATATGTCGGGAATTCCGATGATGACGGAATATATGAACATGTTATGTATATAGAAATACCCGGAAGGGATAGTTTTATACACAGAAATTCAATGTCATTTATTTCGTCGGACGTTATTACTTCAGACGTTAATTCTGAGTCAACTGCAATTAAAACTCCACCTCCACGTCGGGACGTACGATCAAGCCTGTAAGTTGTGTACTTACTTGGAAAAACTTCGGAACTTAGAACTTCCGGTTTTAACCAGGTTTCAGTAAAAACAATAACATGGGAAGACAAGGAAAAACTATCAGTATACAATTTGGTCAACTTACTTTGTAAACCTCTTGTATTCTGATAATAAAGCTGAAGAAAAGAATCTAGTTTTTTGAGATAGATGAGGATGTAGATGTGGATGGCTCTTTAAAGGGACTTCCAACTTCCTTTGAACGAATTTTCTTTTTTTTAGCTTCGTACTCTTTAACAAAAATGCCAACAGGCCAAAAATTGGCTGAGCACATAGTTGCAAAATGAGCACAGGGAACACCGATCTTAAAAGATGATACTTCCCTAGCATATGGAAAATTAAATCGTTCAACCTTTAGATCATCAATCTGAACTTTGTTACGGATATAGGCCGTAATGTCCAGCGATGAAAGGTCAGGATTTAGCCGAGAAACAAAAATTTGTTTCCGCTGCGGTACACAG